GTGTGTGTGTGTGTGTGTGTGGGTGTGTGTGTGTGTGTGTGTGGGTGTGTGTGTGTGTGTGTGTGGGTGTGTGTGTGTACTTACACCAGAGCTCGTAATAGTAGGTGCAGCACTCGGTCTCTCCGCAGCAGTAGCCCATCTCACAGCGGTACTGTTCATTGTTCACACCGAAGCAAAACTCCTTCCCCTGTCAAACAAACACAAGCATTGAGTGAAAGACAACAGCACAGATCTGAGCTCTTCATCGAGCGCACTCCAAGCTTTACATCAGCGTTTGTGTCCTACAGTAAACACTCAGAGAAAGAGTGACTCCTCCATCACCAGCACAAAGACAAATTCATCATCTGAAGACCAGACTCACTGCTCAAATCTGATTTCTGTGCCAAAATTCACATATTAGCCTGGAACTATCGGGACAAAATAATGCAAGTAAAGCTGAAATCAATCAGTCAATAAATATGAACCATTACATATAATATCCCTTACGAAAATTAACCATGGTTTTATTATAGTAAAAGTGTAGTAACCATGTTTTTTGGCACATTTATTACCATTTGTAGCACCACAGTTTTACTACAAATACCATGGTTAAACTATGGTTAGTGAAGCAAGACCTTGGAATTTGTGGTTACCATGATTTAACAATAGTAACCATGGTTTTTTTGGTTTTATCTGTAGTAAAACCATGGTTAATTAAAGTGAGCCTCAAATATAACGCTGTGTAAATAAACAGTAAAAATGCTGTTGTACAGGTGAGTCTTTATCTGCCGGTGAACTATGATGCGCGCTGGATCTTTTATCTACAAAATAACCTTTAAAAACAGTCAGTAGGAGTCAAACCTAACCTTACATACACCACACCACACCACAGACTCACTAAAACACTCCAGAAACCCCACAAACACAAACACTGAGGTACAAACCACCAGTAATAAGCACAATTGTTTTCAATTCAATCTTTTCATCTCCTGAATGTCTGTGATTTTAAAATGTAAAATATTTATACAGATTTTATAAATTAAATATCCAGTACGAAAGAACATACAGCCTTTTTAACCATTGCTACACGATGCTGGTTTAATGGCTTTATTTGAGTTGTTTATCGAGGCCTAGCGCCGCGCCGATCCCGGAGCTCGAGTTCAGCGCTCGCCGCCTCAGAGGCCTCGCCGCCGGCTTACCTTCACCAAACACGCCCCTGTGCAGAGGAGCCCCACCACGGAGCCCAGCAACTTCTGCGGCATCTTGCAGCGTTTTTCTTCCTAAACTCGAGCGGAATCATAAAGCTTCAGTTGAACAGACGCGATGACCGTCGGAACGCCATGTCTGTGCTGATGAACACGATTTCATGGGATCCGCACACAGAGGGCAGCAGCATCACATCCAGCAGCCACAACAACAACAATAATAATAACAATAATAACAATAACAGCCGTAGAGCGGCACTGAAGCTGAACCACGTCCGCGGCTTCTCATTACATCTCTATAGATACGAGACTTCTGCGCGTGTATCGGTCTTTTTATTGGTCTATTATACGTTTATGTAAAAAAAATATATATAAAAAAAAATAAAAAATAATATATATATATATAGTCATTAAATTAATGTGCGTAATGTGTTTATTTTTTCTACAACAGCAAATCAGATAAATACACATTGTGAAATACCCTACGGAGCGTCGTAATTAAAAGACTATATAAGAAGAACTAATGAATATCTTTTTGTATTAATGCGTTTTATAAAATGCGGACAGTTTTTGCATATTTTTTATGTAACATGCGCTTATTATTCCCCTGACGTCACCCAGATGACGTCAACCGCGCGTTCTGAGAGACAGCGGGAGCGCGCACAGAGGAATGGTTAGTATCTCTGCTGATCACACACACACACA